GATATCAGATTTAAAAACTATTTTTTTTCCTGAAACATGAATTTCACTGTTTGAAGCTATGGTTCTGGGATATTCAGTTATCTCTTCCCCTTAATATGAGAGTACATTGACTATAGCAAGGTGGGTAGGAAGAAATGCCTGGAATTTAAATCAAAAACTTCATCCAAACTTCATCTGTGAGTCTTCTGAGAGAGAGAAAAACTCTTTCCATCATCATTTTTAAGGTTCTTTTCTGGGTTTCATAGAGTAAGTGTTAAAATTAAAATGTGTCTTTCAACAGGTAGTATTGGCAGAATTTCTAACTTATCCAGAAATAGGAAGCATAGCTGATCTTAGGCAAGTAAGTCAAAAGGACATCTTAGTGGGGGTTATCTGCCTGCTTGAAGAAACCCTCTCCCCACATGTCGGAGCTTGAACTGAAAGACTTTGCATTCCGTGGTTGCTAGTTGACAGTTCCTCAATCCAACTTTCTGCCCTTTCCTCTTGGAACACATTCCGAAGCACGTTCTTCACTTGCCCCAATCCTCTCATCCGTAATGGAGGCAAATGCCATATTCTGTCTTCATTCTGACCCTTGTCCTCCTCTCTCCTCCCTCGTGACTTCCTCACCTAGAATGTGGGCTGTATTTTACTTCACTTTGGTTCACTTAATCATGGCTTCTCATCAACACAGGATTCTCTTAGACTAGTGTCCAACAGAACTATTCTACAGTGATGGAAACATTCTGCGTTTACAGTGTCCAAAACGGTAGCCACTAGGCACGTGTGCTACTGAGCATGTGAAATATGGTTAGTGCAACTGAAAGTTGAATTTTTAACCTAATTTTATTTTAACTTACTTAATTCAAATAACTATAGGTGGTTAGTGACTACCATGTTGGACTGCAAACTTAGAGCATCATTTTCTTTAAAGATTTCATTTAAATTATAGTTTCTGGGAAAACAAAAATCCTATTTATTTACAGTCACAGTCGTTGTCTAAACCTTGTTTCTAGATAACCACAAAGAGAAATTGACTGAAATTGTGAGGTACACTGGGACTTTGGCTTAATACAATTTCCCCTTGACTTTGGTGATGCTGTTAAGCTGTTGCTTTTCCTTCTACTTCTCTCGTCTTTCCTTAGGTAAATACTGCTAAGTCTTTTAATGTTGGAAGTCTTCAGGAATGAGTCAAAGACTCTCCATTTTGGCTCCATATTCTGTGTCTAGGTTATCTTATCTATGCTTATAACTTCAATAACCTCTACAACAGTGACTCCCAACTTTATATCTCCAATGAGCACTTCTCTTTGAGACTTTCTTAAATATAACATGTTCAAAACTGAATGTGTGACTCTTTCCACAATCTAGGTATTCTTTTTTTTTTTTTTAAATTTCATTTTTTTTTAAATTTTTTTTTAAAGATTTTATTTTTTCCTTTTTCTCCCCAAAGCCCCCCGGTACATAGTTGTGTATTCTTCGTTGTGGGTTCTTCTAGTTATGGCACGTGGGACGCTGCCTCAGCGTGGTCTGATGAGCAGTGCCATGTCGGCGCCCAGGATTCGAACTAACGAAACACTGGGCCGCCTGCAGCGGAGCGCGCGAACTTAACCACTCGGCCACGGGGCCAGCCCCAATCTAGGTATTCTTTACATCATTGAATGGCACCAATCTAGTCGGCCAAGCCAGAAATCCAAAAACCATCCTTGACACCTTCATCTCCTTGCATTAATTCCCCCATCTCAGCCATCTTCCAGTCTAATTGATTTAACTTGGAAAATAGCTTTCAAATTCATTCAGCTCCCTTCATCTCCACTGTTGCCACCATGACCCAAGTTACCATCAACTTTTGCCTGGACATTCTGCTAGAGGTTTCTACATGGCCATAGTCACACAGACCTTCTTTTAAGTTTTATAAATATGTCATGCCTCCTTCAATCGTGGAGCCATTACAATGTCTCCAGAATTCATACTGCTTGGAATGCTTCCCGACTACACCTCCCAGCCACCCTGTCCTGCTCAATACCTGGTTGATCTCCTTAAGGTTTTATTCAGACATGAGTCTAAACGTCACTTCCTTAAGGATATCTTTCCTGATACCCTAGACCATATCTGGACCCCATGATGCATTTTTGTATCACCTGGTACTTCCCCTTCTGAGCATTTATCACAATTGTAATTAATTGTCCTTAGTGTTGTCTTTGCTGCTAAAAAAGTAACTTCCATGAGCGCAGGAACCTGTTAGTCTTATTCATCACTCCGTTCTTGGTGCTTGACTCATATATGCACACAGTAGGTGCTCAATCAATGTATGTGTAGTCGTTACTTACTTAACTAGTAGTTAAATGTACACTCTTGTTGCCTGGGGTTAGTGAGCTGAACCACCACTCAATATCTGGATCAGGAAATTGTGGGGAAATGAGTTTAGTAACTTGTCCTTTGCATGTGATCTCAGTTCTCAAAACAGTGAATTTCTCTGTGAGTAAAACAATAAGTTACTGGAATCTTGGAGTTTTCAAAACAAACTTTTTATGTAAACCTTTACACTTCTGTTATTGCAAACTTTCCAGCTGTTCCGTAATATTTTAAATGTGTTTCGAATTATTCATTTACTACTTTGAGTAGTTCTACCTGAATACATTCTTGTTTTTTTAAAAATTGTCAATTAACTTACTGTTATTACTCTAATTATTATTATTTTGTAGAACAATGCTCTTCCAAGACTTCTTGACAAAGACTCACAATGCCGTTAACTGACCACGGTTACCGATTGCCAAAGAGTCATCCATCCTTCAGGAATAACTTTTAGAATAGTTGTCTTTATTTATCTGGCATGACACCAATCCACTAACTGTATTATTTGAAAGTGGCACATTTTCTATTCCCTTTGTTTTTGTTCCCAAACATGGATTTGACAATTTCCACACAGGAAGGGAGAATGAACGCTTCTGGACTTGTATGAGACTTTTTGTCTTTGCCTATTAATTGCTCAACTGACCTTGTAGCTAGCTTCCCCTCTTTGATCTGATACTTTCTTATTTCACACTTGCAGATGTGTAAGATGTTCCAAATTCCCCCCCCTGGGTAAACTGGATGCTTTGTGGTAGCTGCTGACGTAGTTTGCTTGGCCACCATGGCTTCATCTGATAACTTTCCTAGCAAGTAGGACATTTAAGTTGAAGCTGATCAGGATTACCAGGCTGCACTGATCTAAATTTGCGATAGTCTTCCCTGGATCGCCTGATTAGTGAGTAAAAAAATTTGTTTTTGACAGAAAGAGATTGCTGTGTATATCCAGCAAAACTCCTGACTTTACAAGTTCTCGAGAAATATTTGCACAAATTAAAGCTGTTTAAATATAAATTACTTAAAGGAACTACAGGGTTTTAAAGATTCAGAAAATTGATTTAAAAAATTTAAAAGTTCACTTTCTTCAGAATATTTGAGACAAGTCACACCAACGTTTGAAAAGTTAACCATGTAGTAAACATCAAAGAAATTACTAAAGTATATTCATTTTATTGAATTTAATAATTAAAATTGAAAAAAATGTCATGAAATATTTACATTCCTCTATGATCAATAACTATCTTGAATAATCATTTTCTAAGGCCATAGAAACTTATGTTTCTCATTAATTAACTAATTAATTTAACTATAATGTTTAACTTTTGTTTTTAGAAACACACCTTGTTTTTAATTTCCTAAAGCAAATTGTCATTTATTATAATTCTGCCAATTGTCAAACTTTAATTATTGCCATTAAGGAACAACTGAGAAATTTAATAAAATGATCTTTTTGAATTGAGGAACAACTATTTACAGATGATAATAACAGCAATAACAAACTAACAGTCATATATACCTTCTGTTAGCAGAAGAAAAAATGTGAAAATAAGACCAAATTATATCTAAAGCAAAGATATAGGTTTTACATGTGCGTGCGAAATAAAGAACTTCCCAGATGCCAGTCCAAATGCAGACTAAAGTCTTAATCAAACTGGCTGGAATATTTCAGTGCGAAGGTGGGAGAAGGGGCGGGGGGAGTCACTACAGGGTGCAGCCACTCCAGGGCCCTCTCTGGAGGTGGGTATCAGATATTAAAGCTGTATACCCCAAAAGAATAATTACTAAATTCAGAAATTGATAGAAGAAGCCATTCAAGTTATACGCTGTTATAACTACAGCTGTTGTGAATTATTGAATGGCCATAAAAAATAAGTTCTAACTTTTTTTCTCCACCGGATCAGTGTCTCACGGCATACCTTTTCCCATTCTGCCATCCTGTGTCCTACCGCATACCTGCCAGGAAGGCCTGCTCTTCAGCATGGGGATAGAGAACTCGGCTCTGTGCCTCAGGTGACATCCTGGCCTTGTCCCTTATTACCTTGGGCCATGTCACTTAACCTCTCTGAAGTTTAGTTTCCCCCTCTGTAAACCATAAACATAATTACACCTAATTCTTCAGAGTCTCATGTGGATTAAATGAGATAATACATCCGAGTGCACTGAGAGTGTTCAATAAATGCTAACATTTGTTACTTCTATTATTCTGTCCATGGACTTTAGGTGAGCTTTCTTGGTCAGGCCTTGAAGCCTTTACATCTCTTATTGCAATATTATCATCAGAAGGGGTGTAGTGTTATCTTCAATAAATTTGCATTTACTAGTGTAAGGGTCCTGCATGCAGGGCACCTGGATTTCTCAGAAGAAAAGCCACTAGAAGCAGATTTGCTGCTTCTGACAACAGAAGGTAACCACTTTAACTTCATTAGCACAGCCCTGCAAATGGCTTTTCCAGTGGTCCGGACAGTAAAAGTTCTATTCAGCTTGGGGCTATTTTGCGTTATCTCCAAGGGACACTTTTTTCCCTGGAGAGGCCACCTGCGTCTTATAACTTGAGAGGGTCTCTGCCGAGTCCTGGAGCTTCCACACAGCTGCGGAAGGCAGACACACATTCCTCACCTTTGGCATCACAAAGGGAGTAGGCAAGGACCTTGCTCGTTTGGTCAACTCCTTGCCTATTTTTCCCCAGCCTTCCTCCAAATTTCTACTAGGCCTGAAGCTGAAACCAGGAAGCACAACACAATCAGAATGTGCAATAGTCTTTGTTTTAAATTAAACTTTTTATTTGAGGGGATCGCAGATTCAAATGCAGTGGTAAGAAATAAGATACAGAAATCCTATGTACTGCATAACCTGTAAACCTTACCCAGTTTCCCCCAATGGTAACATCTTGAAAACTAAAGTGTGATATCCGAAATATTGACGTTGATACAGTCAAGATACAGAACAATTCCATCGCCACAAAGATTCCTCTTGTTGACATACTATACCACATCCAGCTTCCCATTTCACCCCTCCCCCATCGCTGATCCCTGGCAACCACTAATCTATTTTCCATTTCTCTAATTTTGTTATTTTAACATGCTATATAAATGGAAGCATACAGTATATAACATTTTGGCATTGTTTTTTTCCATTTAGTGTAATGCCCTGGAGATTGATCCAAGATGTTGTATGTATCGATAGTTTGTTCCTTTTTACCACTGAATAATATTCCACAGTATGGATGTATCACAGTTTGTTTAACCCTTCACCCACTGAAGAACATATGGGTTGTTTCCTATTTTATGCTAATATGAATAAATCTATGAATAGGCATGTGCAGGTTTTTGTATGAGCCTGTTTTCATTTCTCTGCAATACATGTGCATGAGTGCAATTGTGGGGTTGTATTGTAGATGCATGTTTAGTTTTATAAGAAACTGCCAAACTGTTTTCCAGAGGCGCTGTACCATGTTATAGTCTACAAACAATGTAGGAAGCATCCAGTTTATCTTCATCTTCTCCAGCATTTGGTGTTGCCAATATTTATCTTAGCTATTGTGCCAGGTGTGTAGTGATATCTTATTGTTTTAATTTGCATTAAGAATTGCAAATTAAAGAATGGCTAAAGAAGGTGGATATCTTTTGCAACAGTCTTTTGCAGATGGTATAATTTAAGAGCTGGAAAGGATTGGAGGAACCCATTGCAATGATTGAGCCCGAAATTAATTTGTTTGGATGGGAGCCGTGTCCCAGCTAGAAAGAGAGACAGAAGTAGTTCACTCTGTACTGAGGTCTCCTAAATCCTGGCTCAGTGACGTTTACACCAGATCCTACCTCTAGTACACATCAGGGATGATTTTCTTTCTCTGATTGGGTGGTAAGGTAGAACAGAATTGGATGGTAAGGCTGATTAAGAATGTACATAAGTAATCCTGTGTAATATTTAGCACATGTCTGCTATCTACTAGGAACTCAATGAATAATTGAATATTTTTGCATAGATTAAAGCAGTGTGATATGTTTATATATCACATTCTCCTAGGAGCTAACGTTTTTCCTTTCTTTTAAGTAGACACATTAGAGGTTTGTCTCACCCTTTCAGAGCCAAGAATAAAGAAAATAGTCTTTTTATCATTTCAAATATTGTCAAAAAAAGAGAAAAAAGGAAAGCCCTGTCTGTTCAATCAGTGCCATAGGTGTGCGAGTGTCATTACATATTACTAGGGTTAGGAATGGAGGGGGCCTTGTGGACAAGGGAGCTCATCCTCCTGATTTGCAGATGAGGAAACAGAAGCTCACAGAAATGAAGTGCCCTCCCAGGCACTGCTCAGGACGGCATTGGAGGAGCTGGGACTGATGGCATTTTCTGAGAGGGGAGCCTGGTGCTCCTAAGTGAACTCCTGCCAGGTTCACGCACAGGATGGGGGCACCGGAAGTCAAGGATTCTGTTCCCAGTGAGGGCCTTTGCGGAGGAGGGAGGAGTTTGAGGAGAGCTAGAAAATTGCACCCACTCCTGGGTGTCAAAATTTCTATGTGAAGCTTGACTCCTTATTCTAGCCCAAAGGATGTCGTAACTTCTTTGACTCTGCTGAGAGATCAGTTCTTTCAGTTTGGACATAAAACTGGTCAGCAGTCTGATGACCACCTCCAAAGCCAGCTGCCACCCTGACCCCAGGCTGTCCAGACCCAGGTGGCTGATGGAGTAAAAGGAATTGAAAAATGTGCTTAAGATAGAAAGGAGTGAATAACGTATGCATCTAATTCAGAAACAAGGTGTTTCAAAGGTAGGAGGTGACTTGGCCAGGAAAAGACACAGTTACAAGGTGAAATAGTTACTATGTAAAATGTACCCGAGGAGATATAATCCCAAGGAAGACAGGATGTTCATAACTTCCAGACTCTTGGGGTAGCTAACTTTTTAACCCCAAAATGGTGAGACTACACTGGTGGTTCCTGCAGGGTACAGACAACCCTTAGTATGTTCTTGTGTATCACAGGTCGGTGGGCACCCAATAAATGGGGCCTGCAGGTCCTTTAGGTGCTGACCTGAGAGAAGGGCCGCTGTGCTGAACATGGTGGCTAACGCAATTTATTCAACATTTTGCTGCTTAAATAGAACTTCCATAGGCTTTCTCAAATACCTTTCACACAACCCCTCAAGTAGACTATATTAAGAGAGGCAAGCTTGAACCCCCATCTCTAGACTTGTCAGTGCTCTTTCCAGCCCAAGCTGAGGTCAGACTTTCAGAGATGATCTCTGTATGCTGCTACCTGCTTTACACAGAGAGGGCAAAGGCCAGCAAGAGGGGCCCTTGAAGATAGACCAAACGGGTTGCCACCACTGGAATACAGGATCCTATAGACACTGGTGTCGCATGGCCATTGGAAGCAAGGACATTTCCAATCTAAATAGTGGGAGGAGTAAATAATGATCCACATTCAATTGTTCAGCAAATGGTTATTGACCATTTATTGTGTACCAGGCACAGTGCTGGGCAGCAGGATATAAGCTGACTAATACAGAGGAGGATCTTGTACTCCTGGTGCTTATAATTTGGGGGTGGAAATAGGTATCAAGTAACATGTGGCGTGGATTCTAAAGGAGAAGCCCAGAATGCCTTGGGGGAATAACAGAGGTCCAGCCCTGCCCAGGGGACCCAGAGAGGCTTTCTGGAGGAAGCAAGATAGAAGGCTCTAGTGGGGCTATGACAGGAGAGAAAGGTTTTCAGGTACAGGGAACAGCAAGGGAAGGTGTGCAGTCATGCAACCTGAAAGGATGAAATGTGGCTGAAGCATCGCGAGGACACTGATGTTAGGGGACCTCTAAAACTTCCCTCTCCCTCCCAACCACACACACACACACACACACACACACACGCACACTCTTTGCGTCCATTCAGATTTCCCAGAAATCCCATTAACAGGAATCTTGCACAATTATTCCCAAAATAAGTCTTGAAATGATCAATTCTGCCCAATTTTTAGCAGAGAGAAGTGCTCAGACTAAATTGGGATCTCAGGCAGTGGTACCAAGCATGGGTATTGTTTAAAACTTTCCAGGTGATTCTACAGTACAGTCAAGTTTGAAACCCACTGACTTAGAGCCCCTTTAAATCCCTTCTTGACCAGCCAGCTATGGCACTGGGCGCAGCTGAGGGGAACACTGAGGGGACAAGCCTCCTTCAGAAGCAACAACAACTCAAGCTGAGTGAGGGATTTCCAGAGGTGGGGGAAACGTCCTTGTTTGAGGTCTCTGAAAGATTTAATTTTGAGCATCTGCATCTAACCATGAAAAGAATCATGAGCTCAGCGTTCAAGAAGCCAATGCTGACTTTCTCTGTGCTGTTGCTGGAGGAGGAGGCGAGGAGCGGATGGCGTGAGCACGGAGCATCTCTTTCCATCACCAGCTTCCTGGAGAAAACAGTATGGCAAAGCTCTTCTTCTGCACAATTCATTCCTTGATAACAATTGTGTTTGTTACTTCGTGGCCTGAAGCAAAACTAGCAGATGTAATCGCTGTCGGAAAAAAAAAATTAACTGGCATGATGACTGATTTATAGCTTCGTCATAACATCAATTATAACAGGAGATGGAGGGAAGGGCTTTTTGGAAGCACCACTTTTCCGCAGAAGTGTAAAGCCCTTGCTTCTTTTCCAGCAATTGTTAGATTGCTAAAAATAGGGTCTATGGAATATGTAAGCATCACCCCCTCAGTATAAAACGGAATTATTCAGATCCTAGGGACGGGAAAGAGTCAGATATTGGCATAAGGCCTTAAGTTCACGTCCCTGACAGGCTCCAAGCTTGTCAAAACTGCTCTTCAATCACCTTGCTAATAGTATGGTGTGCTTCAGTAACTGAACGGTCACGTAATTAGAAGCATACTCCTCTGACTGGGAAAAAAATCTACCAGTCTACTCCAAATTAAAGAAAAGGGACTAGTTGTGCCAGGTTATATAATTTAATGAAGAAACTGTAGAAGGAGCCCTTTAAAAAGTGTGATGGTGCATTCATTTCTGGTATAATACTAAGCACTCAAACAGAACATTTCTCTTTTAACTCCCAGCCAAGGCTCATCGCTCTTGTGTAAATAAAGTCAATGCAGCCAAAAGTGCCATCTGGTTGACAGGACAAAGTCAAATGGGACCTGAATGCGTGGGGTCTATGTGCACTTGCCTTGTCGCATCTTGAGCAAACTGGCACTGACGTCCAACGTGAGGGGCGAACATTTCTGCTTTCATCATAGTTATAAGCCCGATTTTTCTTTTTTAACCTCTTCTCTATTTACTCTTTAAACAACAACAAAAATCTGGTGGTAGATGGATTTGACCTCATTGAGTCCAAAACGGCGTCTCCCTCTCCTCGTTCTTTCTCTCTGGCCTCTCCTTTATTTTTCTTCTTCTCTTTTTCTCTTTCATCTGGCTTCTCCACCCAAAAAGCCAAGGGAAGTGAGGTAACAATAACTTTGTTGCATTTCACCTGGCCCACCCAGCAAAAAGCTATTTCTAGGCAAATGCGGAAAACCCAAACCTTGTGGAAGGCAACTGGCCCTTTAATCTAACATCCTCTGTGTGCTGCGGAGTCTAATGCTCAATTTGAAAAACAATCTGAAAATAGCATGAAAGGAAACGTGGAATTTGCATAGCTATATATATATGTTTAAGATAGTCATAGTCGTTTTCAAAAACACTGTGTTTGAGAGCTGACCCTTTACTTGAAGTTGCCCGAATTTCGTGGACTCCTCCGAGATAAGGAGTGTAATTTTCACTTGAGTGGTGGTTGCTTTTCTGCACAGTCCTCTTGGTATTAAGGAGCCGGATCTCAAACTGTCTCCCTGAAAAACGGAATGCTCATATTCAGAGCTGTTTGACTGCCTAAAGCTCCAGGAACAATGACGATTTGTTCATTTCTGTTAGATTGTCACACTTTTGAGAGTCTTATTAAAATCTTCTGTTTTCTCTTTCTTTCTGTATACTTCTACTTTCTCTTCCTCTCTCTCTTTTTGTCCTTACCATTTCTTGGCCTTTATCTTTTTCCTTTTTTTTTTTTTTTAAAAAAAAACCTTTTTCTCTGTCTTCTTTCTTTTCAAAGTTTAAATTACACTGACACCTTACTTTTTGTAGGTAAAGGCTCAGTTGGGTTTATTCTGGCTGCCTACAGATGGGCTTTTTTCTCCATCAAGGCCTTTGGAGGCTGACTTTTATTTCCAAAGCTCTAAATTTAATAGCTGGAGAATACTAACACAAATCTCTCTCATTTCAGGTTTCCTAGAGGTTCAATTATATTCAAGGTGCCTTTTCAAACAGCCTTACTGACAGGTGCTAGAAATCCAGGTATGAAACATAAGCTCCTCACTTACAGAGGGTTGCTCTGCAGGTCAAGGATGCACGGCAGAGAGGGTGCAGAGCTCATGAGGTGAAAAAATTGAAGGAAGATTTATAAGCAGTATTTAGATCTTTACAAAAGGGATTCTTATCTTGAGATGTCCAAGGGGATCCATGGATAGAAGTCAGGGTGTCCAGGAACTTAGATAGGAAAAAAGTTACTTCTTTGTATTTCTTATGCTTTAGTAGAAAGGTAGCTTTCCCATCAATTATAAACATGGACAAAGACCCATTGTAATATCAGCACTCTCTCATATGTCACATTACAGTTGTTGTTGACATCTCAAAATGTCCTTTATCCTCACCACTACTTTGAAATCGTGGTAAATATTAGATCCACCACTAGCTCTTTCTATTTAAAGCTTTAATAAAGGAGCACATATATTACTTTCAGACAATTTAAAATGTTATAACTATTCCGATGTAATTGTTTTCCTTAACAATCACATACATTTTATTAAATGCACTTAAAATCATGATTCTGAGAAGGAGTCAGCGGCCTTCACTGGATTGTCAGAGTCTGTGGCATGATAAAGTTGAAGAATCTTGGTCTGGAGATTAAATGAATCTTCCAGCTAGACATTTTGTGGTTCCTTGACTTGGGGGAAGTGGAGCGGCGTAGAAGAGGAGAGAGGGGACCCTGAAGTTTGTCTTGGGCCTAGCAGAGCTTCTGCTTGTTTCTGTTGGCCCTGTGTCCGGAGCTAAACATCCGAATAACCCTCACAAAAGGTAGACAGAAAGATAAAAGCCCATGCTAGACAGAAGCATCTAGGGAAGTAACAAAACAAACAAAACAAAACTTAAACCCACTGAAAATCCTACAGCACAAAGAGTTTCTTATCATTTCTTCTCACTTTTTATATGTATTTTTCCTGGTGCCAATCCCCAAACTCCCTTTCTTTAAGCAGTTCTGTATTCTAGAAGATACTCACCGCTTCGATGTCACTTTGCAGAAGCACTTGTAGGCGAAGCTGCTGGTCCGTTGACTGAGCCCTTTTCCTGAACCTGTGCACACTTACAAGCTGTCCTGCCTGACTCTGGTATTACAGCAAGAACAGAAGGCCAACTCGCTACTAGAGTTAGGATTATCTGTGGGGGAAGTTGGTTTACTTGTAAGCCCTACATCAGCAGGGCCTAGGGATGTAAGCTGATAGCCATTGTATGTGTTAAATTAACCTGGGGAGTTAATAATTGACATCAAATGGGTCTAATGAGATGTAATGTGCCCCCAGAGTTTCTGTTAGAATATCCTCATTAGAATAATATTGAGAAGAAGAGGCCTTGTCAGGAAAAGCTATTTTTTTCCTTCTATGATATATTCTGATTCTGCAAAGTGGTGGGAAGGAGAAAGGAAGGGAGGAGGAAAGTGGGCAGTGAAGTTTATGGGGAGTGGGGGACAGGAACAGACTTTGCAGTCAAACAGAGCTGGGTTCTAATCCCAGTTCTGCAACTTGCCTGGCTCTGTAGTCTTAGGCACGTCCCTCAGCTTCTCTGAGCTTCAGTTCTACGTCTATAAAACAGACACAATAACAGTACCAATTTACAGAGACATCGTGAAAATTCAGTGACATATGATGTGCAAGATGTTTGGCACAGTGCCTGGTGCCATGTAATAAGAACTTAATAGAGTATGGCTCCTGCAGGGGTAGTGCTGAGACCCAGTGAATATGTCAGCAGGAAGAGGCAAGCATGCAAGCAGCTGCTATCTTGACCCATCTGCTGGGTTTGTCCCTGTGGTCAACCAGCCAATCCTGCTCCACTGGGAAGAGGCTGCTGTCTACACTGGGCTGCCAGCAACCTGGCTTCCTTCCTTTACTCTTAGTAATCTTGGTTGCTTTATTGACTTACTGGCTTGTCTCCGTTTTTCTAACTAAAAAATCAGAGTCTTAATGACAGTTAATACCTACCTATCTCAAAAGCTAGATTAACTAGTGTGTATGTGAAGTCATGTTATTTCTCAAAGTCAAGATAGCGACTCCACTACTCTCATAATGAGGGTGTGAGCACTAAGGTAAATGTGTCTAGAGATGCATATCTGTACCCGGGCTTTTTTTCTATGTAGACTGCCTAGTTAATGTTTTAAATGGGGTAATCGTTTAACTGATAAATAAGATAATTCATGTCAAAGTCTTGTAAACAGAAAACATTATTAAAAGCTAAGCTTTATTTTTATTATTATTGTTCAAAATAAAAATATTTTGGTCATCGGGAAATTGCACTTCTGGAATCCTTTAGCCCACTCTCAAGGAAGAAGTTAAGTTCCTTGGAGGGTGTAAGATCTATAGGCTTTAGCCCCGGATGATCACCAAGGAACCAGGGAAGTTCCTGAATTATTTAGAATCTCATCTTGCTCTTCTGTGGGACAAGAATATCCTGGACTTGACCCGTGGTCAGCCTTTTTATAACTGTTCTTGGAGAATGATGTTAAAAAGTGGTTGATGGAGAGTATGGCAGGTGAAATTTTGAGTGGTCCTGCAAATACCCTCTTGCTTCTTCCAATAATTGATGATCTAAATCTCCTTCATAAAACAACACCTTTCTTAAATCTATTCATATCTTAGTAAGGACTTTTCAAGAAGTTCAGAGAGTGGTTGAAAACCCCCATAATGGTCTCCAGTTTTCTTCCATGGTACTGTTTGGACCTGGACTGAAGTGAAAATGAAGGCTGCCTTGCTTTGAATTGACTGTGTGCTTGTTTAAACCAATAAATATATTTTACGTTATTATTTATAGCTTAGATTAAGCTGTTTCCTATTTCTTAAAAGAGTTCAACAACAAAAAACATAGTTCAACTACTCTCGGACTGAGACGTTTCAACTTGTTTGATTGTGAGCAGAGAAATCTCATAGGCAGATTCATTTTGCCATAGTATTGTGTACAAAACTGACTGAATAAGATCCTGGAAGGAAAACAAAGAGAATTAAGATGTGATTCTGCCTTTAGGAATAAAATGATCAACCATTGTCTAAAAGGCTGTCAGGGCCTGCTCAAACCAGTGAGAAGAAACTGACTGGCTCCCGAATATGTGATTTTCACCTACCTGTATCTGTACTGGCAGCCGAAGGGGCAGCAGGGCAGCTGTATCCACGCCTGCAGGATGATTCACCCAGGACTAGTTGCACGATGGTTATTATTAATAGTACTGGCTAGTTTGCATTGGCACTTCCTGATTCAAAGTGATGCTGTGCTTGCTTTAAAAATAGTTAGGAGTGATAACTTATTGGCAGAGTACCTCTTGAGAAATCACAAAGACAGAGCTCTTTACCAAATTGGTGGCCAACATCCAGGCTTGGTTTGAAAACTGTGCTTTGAGGGAGGCTCATTTCTTGTGCTTGGCCAGAACAGCTCAGAGATTTTGAATTACGATTTGCTGCTTTTTAATCCAAGATTTGGCTATGCATTTAGGTTAGTTTATGCTAAACTGGCAGAATTCTAGGTTGATTTCTAGCTTTTTTTAGTGCCTAGATTTGATCATTTCCCTCTGGTTAGTGTGGAGAGAACTAAAGCCTTCTGTTCTGACCAAACAACCACAACCCAAATAGGCCAAGACACTAGGAAAATACCAGGGCAAGTGAAACGAGGAGTGCCATTTAGGGCAGCCAGGCTGAGGCATAGAGCGTAAAACCAATGTTAGGGCATGCCTAAGAGATTTCTTAAGAGGCTTGATGGCACTTCTTATATGAAGCTCGAACGTTGGGGCTGTTTACATTAAATCAGAAAAAATTTCAAATACTGTATAGCTCTATCTTTTATGTTCTTCAGTTACTTTTGCCTCTGTGCATCATTTTGGTAACTGGGTCTTAATTTTTCCCTGGGGACCGAGTCCTTTTTCACTTTCAGTCCCCGAGGTTTGGATGGGACTGACTCACTTTCTTTCCACCTCCACTTGCTCCAGTCAGTGTCACATAGCCCATACCTGACCAATTAGATCTCTAATCAGATCAGTCATGATCTACGATCCAATCAGGGTGAATTAGCCTCAGGGTTTTTGCTAGAGATTTTAGGAAAAGGATGCTGTCCTTCTTCTAGGGTAGATATACTGATGGAATGCAAACCTAGCACTCCCAGAGATCATCTCTGTCACCACGTGGAGGGAGCTTGTCTGAGAATGAAGCCAACACAGAGGTAATCAGAGTTGAGAGACAGTGAGAGGTATACTCCTGATAACACCATTTGTATCATATTAAATGAGGATCTCAGTCCAGCTTTGCCTACAGCCAGTGGTGTAGTTCATTGATTTGTTTTTACGTAGGCCTGTTTGAGTTGGTTACTTGCAGTGGAAAGTGCTCTGAATAATATACCGTCTTTTATAAAGCCCGTGTATCAGTCAGCCATTGCCACAATAATGTTGCATAACAAAATACTAAAAAGCTTAGAAGCATCTGAGAAAGGTCATTTCTTTCTTTCTTACATATTTGTGAGTTAGCTGGGATGGGGTTAGTCTGAGGTGGGTTGGACTGGGCTTGGTGCCAAGCTTCCGGTTGGGATTGGGTCAAGTCTACTCCATGTGTCTCTTATCCTCCTTGGATAGGTGGCTATTTGGGGCATATTGCTCTTTCCATAGTGACTTTCAGGAATGCCAGATGGTGATACCAACATACAAGCATAGTTCAAGCCTTTGCTTATGTCATGTTCGCTAGCATTGCATTGGCCAAAACAAGTAATTTGGTCAAGTCCAATATCAAAGGAGTGGGGAAAGGCAACTTCCATGGAGGTGGGGAGAAAGGAGTGAATATTCGGTGAACAATAATCGAATCTACCACAGTCCGAATTTAAACCAAAGGAAATAAGGACTACTTATTATCAAATCATGTAATTTTAAATCTACAGGGCTATAAATATAGTGATAAATAATGTAAAGTGTTTTAAACAAACAATGCAAAATATTTTAAACAAGTTAATGTAACAATGACAACTGATTTTTTTTTAGCCCTGAGAACTGTGTATTTCTGAAAGATTCAAGCTTCTGACTTGTTTCTAATATGAATAATGTTGAAATTAGTTTTGAAATAAGTCGAACATCATATAGGTTCCTCTTTCTGACTAAGGAATTATTTCAGTCGTATATGAAAGATATAGCTATCAATGATGTAGGCATTCAATAAGAATTTGTTTAATTTGAAATTTTTGTATCACAGTCTGCAAATATTGTAAATACCACACAGTATACAACTAAAGGAGAATATCTGAATGCATAAATAATAACGGCTGTCGTTCTTTCAAGTGTCTCCTGTGTTTCAGTTACTATGCTAAATGAGGCTCTGTGATATTACGTAATGTGGCCAAATTCCCAAATTCTGGTAAGGACCAGAGAAAGGACGTCAACCTGAGTTGGTCATGTGTCAAAAATAGGGTCTTGTGAGACTCACCTGGGGTCACTTTTCTGTCACGTACAGGGGAAGACAGTTGTCCTGCGCTATGGATCCATTGTGAGGAGTTAATGCATTACTGCGTGAAAAGATCTCTAGACAGCCTGTGGCTGAGAGTGCACAGTTGTAAAGTTCAACTAAAACAAAAACAGACTAGTTGCCCGTCCTGGCGATCCTGTAACTGAACTGTCTAAAACAGAGGCTGAATCGGGTAATCTCTTGAAATCACTTTTGACCTCTAGCTTTTGGGGTGGTTTAGATTTGGAGACTTTTCTAATCACTTGAAAAAATAGATTTTAAAGGGTGGCACTGTTCTTGGCTTTGTGTGTGTTCCGACAGTTGGTATCCAGGCTGCCTAAATGATCACAATTAAGCAGAAAAACTTCTTGAGCAAGCAGCAGCATTAAGATTGGAATTCTGCTTGAATTCATGTATCTGGATGCAGAGTTCTGTAGTTAAAATCTTTGGATGGAAAAGAGGATTTTTTAACTTTTACTTTGAATTGAGGTAACGTTGGACTGAGGGATGAGTGGAAAGTAGCTGGAGGTAGTAATATAGTCTCCTCCCACTCAGAGAAACGAAGAGTGAAAATAGCTTCTCAGAATTTGTCATGTCTCTGTTCTACTATATAACAATTTATGAGTGATAATGTGGATGACAGCCATGATAACATCTATAATACAGTTAATACACGAATGTGATTCTGTTTATAAGACACTTTTCAAACCAGGTAAGCACAACTTGAAAATAATTGCTTGGGAAGGATGATTCCAGACACGTGGAGGCACGATTCTGCATTCTAATTTGAGGGTGGAGGCAAGTAGATTTAAAGCATGTGCCCACTTTTCCTGGGCTATGAAGGGGAGGGTAATCTTGATATATTTTTGTAAATCTCCTTTTCCTCTTCTATTTTTAGGATGGGAGGGTTGCTTCACTGCTGTGTGAAGACACTGAACAAACACACAGGTTGAGAACAATAAAAATCCCAGAAAACTGAGTCAGGCACCTCCCTCTGGAAAAGTCCCGAGTGAATAGATGGATGCCCTGAGTGGCAGCAAGCAGGGGATCTGTCAGAACATGAAATGAGAAGAATCCTGAAGTTATGGCCTTGCTGGGAGAATATCCTGCCTCCCACTTCTAAAGATTCATTCTGAAGATCAAGGAGAGCATTGTGTTACTCCTGAGAGATCTCCTTAAACCAGAGAACGGTGGTTCAGAATCTCAACTATTTTGAGTTTCATAGGCAGAGTGATGTGACCCAGTCATGCTGTTATTTTTGTGACTTGAGCAACTCTTTTAACCCGTCTTTCTCTCTGCTTTTTCTTTTGAAGAAATATAAATGGTGGGTCAAATCAGGAGCTTTATAACTGTGAGCCTTGGAGGTCTTTCGGTCCTTAGGAACCTTAGACGATTTCCCTGGTTCCCACAGAATTGGTAGACAAATAGGGCAAGTGAGAAGGACTCTGCTCCCTATACCCCACCTCACTGAGAATTCTTTCCTGTTTTGGGTTTTGGTGTAGGACTCTGAACAGCAACTTCTGCACTTAACATTTTTGGAAGCTAGTGTACTATATGGCCTTGAAACTCTCCTCTGGTCTATCATCCTTGGAGGTCCTGAGTGCCAGACCCAGGTTCAGAGCTTATTCATTCCCAGAAGAAGAAACACAGTCCAGTATTATGAGTATCACGTTAGGCCCTAGGGATAAAGGAATGAAAAGATATGATCCCTGCCCTCAAGGATTTTATAGTCAAATGAAGAGAAAGGCAGGCAAATCCATCATTGTGCTGCAACAAGGCTATTGATTAAATGGAGGTCTATGCCAAGAAGAGAGAGAACATGGGGAGTAGATTGCTCAAGTCTGGCTGAGAGAGGGAGAGGAAGCTTCAAAGAGAAGGAGGCCCCTGAGCTGGAACTTGACCGACAAAGAGGAGTTGTATGGGCAGGTGTGTATGGTTTAAAAGTACAATTCAGATCTGTCAGTCCTCTGCTTGAAGTACTCCCAGTGCTTCCCTAACGCATCCCAGAATAAATCTAAACCATTTAGAATGGCTACAAGGCCATTATGCTGTGGCCCTCTGCCTTCCTCAGACACCTTCTCCTTTTCTCCTTCATGTTCATTATCCCCTCAACTCCATTCTTTGACACTCTATGCTCATTCTCACCTGTCTGTGGCTTTTATCTTCACTGCTCCCTCTGGCTGGAATGCTTTTCCCTCAGAGTCTTCAATAATAACTCATCCTCATCACTCTGGTGTCAGAATAAATGCAGCAGCCACTTGCGAATATTTCCAATTTTCCTCCTTCTGACTTCAAAGGGGAGATACCAACTTGCTGGCCCCTTGATGTTAGGGAACGTTAGATGACACGCTTTGGTGAATGTAGTATAAGTGGAACTAACACATCTGATTTCCAGGTAGAAGCATTTACTTTACAGTGTGAAACTGTACAATGTTTTCTTCTTCTGTCATTGGGACACTGGAAGTCTCTGCTGACATGGAGGAACAATGCTGAGCCCTCACATAGCAGGAAAGTCACCGAGCCTCTCAGACTCATAGGGGACTCTGCCTAAGTAAGACATAAACATTCACTGATTTCAGCCATTGAAATTTTAGGGATTGTTTGTTACACAGTATGTTAGCCTATCCTGACTGATACAGATTCTCTCTAACTCCTGATCTTAAAGTTGCCACTCCCCGTTGACTACAAATTACTTTATTGTTTTTAAAGATTGGCACCTGAGCTAACAACTGTTG